TCCCGCCCTGCTCGCGGGGTCGGAGGTCGCGTTCTGCCCGGGAGCGGCCTCCGCGGCGGCGCTCGGGGCACTGGAGCAAGGTCGGGCGGTGGGAAGGAGACCTATTGCTGGGCTGCTGAGGACACTGACTTGTGTCTTCACCGGAGGGGCGAGCCGAGAAGTTACCGCTGCCGGGTTTACAGGTGAGGAGAAAAACAAGGACTGGCGGAGGGTACGACATTTCCAGAGAAGCGAGGCTGAGCCGGGACTGGAGCCTCAGGGCGGGGTGGGTGTGGCCGCCTGAAACTTGGGGGCCCAGAGGGCCTCAAAGGCGAACCCACTCCCACGACACCCACTGTTGGGCATGGAAATCTGAGCTAGCCCAACCTTTTACATTTTTGAGACAGGGTTTTCCAAAATCGCTGCTTGCCCAGGCTGAGCTCAAATTTGTGATCCTCCTGCCTCAGCCTCCACACCTAGCTAGAAAAAGACATTCTTACACACATTGTAGTGTGGGCAAAGATGATGGCAGTATTTGAATTTTGTGTAAATTAGCGACCCTAGAAAGTCAAGACAAGAGTTCAGGACAAGATATTCTCTATGGGTGGGCAGGGTATATTCAGGAGCTTTTTGCGCCCAGGGTTTTCTCCTGAGGCTGTGGGAGGGAAGAACCATCCCTTGAAGTGGGCTAAATATGTGTGTGGACTACATAAAAGTTATTGGAGACAGCGCTAGGGAGGAAGCTACCTGTGTCCAAAAGGTGATGGTGAGAGAATTATGTAATCGGTGAATATCGAAGATTTTATCTAGTCATGTATGTAACCTCGTTTTTAAAAACACACTTGTTATTAATTTATTACTCTCAGTGGTTATATAATGTTGGCTTTTACCGCAAATTCTGTCTGGGAAGCATGGAACAAAAAAGATTTGAATTGGGTAACATTTGAAAACAAGGACAGAACAAAACATCTTTTTGTTTTTTGGTACCGGGAATGGAACTCGGCCTCTGCTTGCCAGGCAGGCTCTGCCACGGGGCTACATTTCCAGCCCCAAACAAAACAATTCTCATGGAAGCTGACATAATTCGTAAAACTGATCTCTTGATTTTTTTTTTCTTGGAAATTCTTGTCATATATGTTTTTTGTTGTTTTTGTTTTGTAACTCTTTAAAATGGAATTGTTACTCATTAATTCCTTGAGATGATAACGGTTTGCAATAGGGGTCCAGCTATACCTGAAAGAACTGTGAGAAGCACCAGTTCTTTGTGTCTCTTGTACTCAGTCAGCCTTTACACACTTAGAGTAAGACACCAAGAAGAGCGAGCAGGCCAAAGTTCTCTCGCACAAACACTAAAATTAGAGCTTCAAAAGAGAAGTTCCTTTGAGAATTAACTATGTCCTACCTTGTGCAGTTATTTGCTAACGAATCTTGAATTCTCACTTATCATACTCATCGTTAACACAGCTTTCTGAAATGACAGGAACTATACCTGCATTTTCATTATCCATACATATTTTTTTTCTGCTCTCTCTTTTCACTTGGTAAATGGGTGTTGTCTTCGTGGCGTCTGGAACTTTTCAAATACAGTATCTGCATTTTGATTTTATAGGAAAGAAATTTCTGTAGTAGAACATTAGCACACAAAATACAACATTAGCACATACTGATTACTCTTGGAATTTTTATATATCCCTTATTTGCATTAATTTCTAAAATCTTATTTTTTATAATTCTGGCTCAGAATTCATTAAAAAAACAACTTATTAAAATGACCAAATAAGAAAATTTATGATCAAATAATATTCATCCATGCCATTCAATAGTGCAATAAAACAAATGATCCCTACCTGTGAGAATATCAAGTAATACAGTCCTTTTGGAAGGCAATATTTTCTCTTCTCTTTAAATATGATCAGACCCTTAATATTAGTCTTGGTAAGGGCTGGAGATTTAGCTCAGTGGTTCCGTCGACTGCCTTGCAAGTGTGAGGACCCAAGTTTGATCCCCGGTACCAACAAAACAAAGCAAAATATTACTCTTGGTGGGACTCACCTTAAGGAAATAATAGAAAATGCAAGTAATATTAATGTTAACAAAAAAAATCCAACAATAAGAGAATGATTATACGTAGTACATGTATATCATAAACCATTATGCAGCTATAGAAATTGTTTCCAAGATTTTTTTTTTGGTACTGGGGATCAGACTCGGGTCCTTGTGCTTGCAAGGCAGGCGGTGGAACTCCTGAGCTAAATCCCTGGCCTATAGTCTTTTAAAATGACAATGTTCAGTAACATTGTCACTAGTCCCATCACTTACATTGAAATTAATACTGATTTTCAACAAGGGAAATCTGTTTGCTAGGTTATAAACTCTGGAATGTTTTAAAAATATTTTTTCCCAGCACTGGGGAGGCTGAGGCAGGAGGATCTCTGTGAGTTTGAGAACAGCCTGGGCTACATAGTGAGTTCCAGGGAAGTCTGCACTACACAGTGAGACCCTGTCTCAAAATAAACAAATAAAATTTAAAATCCAAAGAATGAGGTTTCACACAGATTAAATGGTAGGAAAAAACAAGTGCTTTACCATACATCAAACACTCCTATAAATCCCAACACACAAGAGTTTTCAGAACACATTAGTAATTCACCAGCTCAACATTTGGGGGATATAATAGAGTTTTTTCATGCTGGAGATCTAACCAAAGGCCTCAAGTGTGCACAGAACACACTCTACATTTACATCCCCAGTCCTCTCGGTAGTTATTAAAAATGACTTGAAGTACATTAAATAAAAGTTCACAAATAGTAACTTCATTTTTCTTCTGATAGGAGGAAGAACCTTCACTACCTCTTAGTTTTCTGTGCTGTCACTGCACCAATAAAAAGTTGAAAGAAATTCACATCTGAAAATATCTGGAGCAGAGATACAAAGGTGAATAAGATGAGGGAAATCTAAAACCATGTATGTATCAGGCCTTCCCCGGAGAGACTAACCAAACAAGATTAAATTTCACAGAATTACTAGGAAAGGAATCCTGGAATCCTCTCAGTCACCATCTGGGCACAATCTTCACAAGGGTTGTTAATTGTTTTGAGGATGTAATGGTAACATGAAGAGAAGGTAGGATAGTAACAGCCAGTAATTTGAGCACCTTTCAGCAAACGAGTTCAAGTAATGAGTACATTCAAGATCTTCATAGACCAGGCATGGTATCGCACACCTTTGATCTCAGCACTTGTGAGGCTGAGGCAGAATTACGAGTTCAAGTCCAGCCTGAACTGTATGGTGAGACCCTGTCTCAAAAAACAACAAACGAAATCCTCTATAAGTACTGCCATTTTACAATTATTTGAAAGAGCCCTGTCTTAAATTTTTCAATCAGTAATTTTTACTTCCTCACTGTACTTTTAGTTGATTTTTAAAATAATTATTAATGTTCAGTTGAAACAGAGTTCATTAGTCCTGTTGTATAAAAATACTGATTTTTCAACAAGTGAAATCTATTTGCCAGATTATAAATACTAAGATGTTTCAAAATATTTTATCACTGTATGAAAAAAATCAGCATTTGTTTCTCTGAATTAAAAAACTCACAGTAAAACTGTAGTACATAGCAAGCTGGGACAGCAGTTATTTCATCTGTCATGGAAGGCTAGGAGACCTGAGCCTGGAAGAAGCCTGTATGGAAGGGAAGTGAATCTGTGACAATGGCAGACAACCTGTGCCTACTTCAGTTCTGAGTGCTAACCTTAAGGGCAGATCCTGTGGAATAGTCTGGAACTCCTGGATGGAGCGAGGTGTTCCTGTACATGGAGAGGCAGACTACACATGCCATTATTCTAATATTTACACAATTCCTTAGTGAAAAACAAAATGAATTATACTGGTAATGAACTTATTTCTCTGAATAGAAAATGGTTTATTTTGAGAACAGAACCCTCTGAAAAAACTAAATACTGTATTCGTGGATTTTTATAAATAATTATTTCTTTTTACGAGGAAACCAATTTGTTGTCATCTGTATTTTCCATGATAATGTAGTATTTGTGTAATCATTCTTCTATATGGGAAAAAAGTCAGGATTTGGTTATAAGAATTTTAGCTAATTTTCTTGGTGCACTTCTTAACTATGCAGGAAGGCCATGATTAGCTGTGTCACTTACTCAGTTATTGTAGTAGTCGAGGATGGAAGGAGTTGATAACATTTTAGACTATTTTTTTAAGAGCCAGGTTGAAAATAATACAGTATAAATAAAAGTAATATACAGACAATTTAACTTCTGAACATAGAGGACTTTTTATTAAGTAAAAGCAATGGATTTAAAAATGTAACCAAAGCATGTAATCCAAAAATTCAATTTTATACTAATATACAGAAAATAACATCATTGAGTGCATCTATACCATTTATAATTATTGTGAAATTATTGTAGTTCATTACACTTGCAGTTAAGACAGTCAAAATTTAAGCCATTTTTCTTTAGTAAATTTCTTTCAATAAAAAATTCATCAATCAAAAATTACTTTTTGAGTCATTTCTATATTTATCTGGCAGCTTTAATTACTGGTAATGTGTCTTTTGTTTCTTTTCTTTTTTTTTTTTCTTTAGCTTTCAATTCTAAATGCTTCTTGTTCCCAAAAGACATTATCTAGTATTTTCTAGACTCTAAGACTTTGTTAAACTTATATCTTAAAGCACTTTCATATGTATTTGAACTCTTAATTGAATTTCTCTCCTTTTCCCCATATCTGTTATTCCATTGTAATGAACTTTCTCTGAGTTTCAGCTAGTCTAATTATTAGAATGAATATTCAAGTTACCCTCCAACTTTACAGGTAGGGTTTTTAAGTGACTGACTTTCTGTATATACTATTAAGTACACTTTATGTTAGATCTTTTTGTGAAATGCCTTAGTAAAACATATGCAGAAATAAGCATAAAAATAAAACATTTCTAAAAGTATATAACATCTTGATATTGCACAAAAGACAAAATAATAGGGAATTTGGTACATAGTTAACCAAAGGTAAAATTACAAGTATATTCACAATAAGGAAATAATATGACCATGTCACATCCTTAAGAAATATGTACATGTGTGCATGCGGCAAAGCATTTGTAACCAGGTTAAGACACAAAATATTCAGTTCCTCCATAAGAGGTTTTAAACCATGCCAACCATCAAAGTTTCAACACTTAGTTTAGTTTTATCCTGAAATTTGAAGCTGAGAGTGAGAGTGAGGCTGTATATGTATATTGAGAATAAATGTTTAACAAAAATTCTGCCTTACTAGGTTATATTACTAGGTTCAGAAGAAACTCATGTCTGTGATTTGTGAAAACTTACCACTAACAAAATAATACTACTTTGCTTTTCCTTCCAACAGTCTTAAAAAGGACCTTCTTTAATATGAAGTCAAACGTGAGTGGTATAGTCACAGAAAGGAAGGAGGGCAAATGTTACATCAGTCAATAACTAGACGATCTTGTTAAAATACTGGCCTTAAGTTTTTTTTCCCTGTACCATTGTTTTTAGACTAATCACAGATTTTTGGATGTAACTTCTTAAAATTGCCTAATTTCATAATAAGTAATATGCATTTCATAATAGGTAATGTGCATTTCATAATATATATTTACAGAAGCCTGGCAAGCCCTTTTATTTTAGAAGGGACTCTTGAAGATAATTAGCATAGAAAGTTTCATTTAGCATAGCTGATTTCATGAGTTTTACAGTTACATTTCTTTAGTAAGTTTTTCACAAATGCTAGAAGTCACCATGAATAAATTTTATTATGACAAGGTGATTCCAAAGTGATAATTATTGAGCTTTCTTGGATCTTTGCAACTGGAACTTTTGGGGTTGATGAAGTTTGTCAGGAAGACAGAAAAGATGGTGTCACTTCAGATCTGATATTCTTGGGTCTGCACTTATAGATTATCTGTTGAAGAGTGATTCTTCCCCATGTCCTCTCCAAATTCAGATCTGTCACTTCTCCAGAGGTTTAGAAGGCCCTATTTCACCACTGCCACACAGAAAAAAACAAAACTCAAGAAAAATAGTATTACATGTTAACTGCTCTATGAGATTAAATATCATTTTTAGGTCAGAATTTCTTAGCTTTTGCCACCAGTCCAGACAGAAGAAAAGCAAAAGTGCCTAGAATTTAAATTTAATTACTTCTCAAGTGTAACTCATTGTGCTTCCAAACATATTATTACTAATATAATTCTTTAGCTGCCTTTTCTTTTTATACTCTTGCATGACCTGAACTAGAATGGTTGGGCACATAAATATGTAACATTAAAAAAAGATTGGAGGTCACACATATAGAGCAGGGAGGAAGAGGTTAATGTTTGTCCTTTCAAATAATAGTTCTGTAAAGTATTTAATGGCAAATTTCTGACCAAAACAGATGTAACAAATGTAAAAGTTCCTGTTCTTTTTAGTCTTCAGCCAGTAAGCTAACATTTCTTTCAAATATTAGGTGTTGTATACTCCACAAATGAAAAAAAGAGGCATCTTCCTTCAAATTCCTAGTTTATAATTCTCCTGCCCTAGACAGCCAGAGATTCTGGGTTAGATTTATATTCACTGAAGCAATGTTTTGACATAATGATCCTTATTTTTTTTAAAAAGTTTCTTAAAATGTTTTTCTCCTATCAGCTGTATCAAAAATGAAAATGTGACTTTCACAACTTGTGTATTAGAATTCTTTCATCAAAAACTGAGCTTAACTGATTCTATTGGTTTAGGTAGAATGAAAATTTAACTTTATAGCTTAAGTGGGGGCTTTATAGAATGTATACTTAACTCTTCCTCTCAAATAGGTACTGAATATTATGCAAATTGTCTCATAAAATTAACATTCCTGAGCCAGGCGTGGTGATGTATGCGTGTAATCCCAGTATTTGGGAGGCTGAGGCTGCAGGATCACTGTGAGTGTTCAAGACCAGCCTGGTCTACATAGTGAGTTCCAGGTCAATCTCAACAACATAGTGAGACCCTGTCTCAAACAACAGCAACAAAATTCCTGGCATTGAAATGTATTTTTAATTTGTCATCTTTTGTCTCTAGCCTTTCCTATGATTTCTTAGTATAACATGGGGGGTGGGGGTGGGGTGCTCATCTTTTTGGTTCTAGGCAGCTTTCTCATATGATTTCTTAGTACAATGATGACTAGTACATTGATACATTTGATTTAGAGCCCAGTATGGACTTGTAATCTTCCTCTTTTTTTTTTTTTTTTTAAGGCAGAATCTTGCTTTGTAATGTAGGCTGGCCTTGAGCTCATTATGTAGCCCAGGCTGACCTTGAACTTGTGGCGATCCTCCTGCCTCAGCCTCCTGAGTACTGGTATTACAAGCATGTACCACCACACTCAGCTCATACCATTTTTTTTTCTTAGCAAATTGAGTTCAGATAATGAGAAATTGTAGTGGCTCCCTGATGCTTAGTAATTTATGTGGATTTTGATAGAAAGGAGAATGAGTCTGTCACAATTAATTGATTTTAATGTTCTCTCGAATATAAGGGAACAACTTAAATAGGATTTAAACTGAAATTTCATCTGGTTTTGGTCAGAATATACCTATATGTTACCAAGTAGCATGTCCTTGAGCTTGACAGAAAGCAGTGAAAAGTGGGTTGTTTAAATAATTATATAGGGCTAGGGATTTAGACCAGTGGCAGCATGTCTGCCTTGCAAGCACAAGGTCCTGAGTGTGATCCCTGGTACCAAAAAAACAAAAACAAAAACAAACAAACCTTAAAATTACATAGCTGGAGGTTTAGCTCAGTGGTGCTGTTGCCTGCCTTGTAAGCACAAGGTCCCTAGTTCAGTCCCATGTACCAAAAAAAAAGTATGTAATTACATAGACACTTCACAGAACCTTCCCCGTTCCATTCTATTTTCAGTTGAAAAACATTTGACAGATACTAGCCAAATCATTAAAGTAGTAGGTTTAGCATGGTACGATAGAAGCTATTGTAAAGAATCAGGTAATAAGTGAAAGTTAGAATCAAGCCAGGTGTGTAGTGACACCTGTCACCCCAGCTACTTGGGAGGGGGGCTGAGGCAGGAAGATTCCACATTTGAAGCCCCTTTGGCAACTTAATGAGATCCTGTCTCAAAAAAGGCTGGTGATATAGCTCAGTGATGCAGCTCTTGCCTAGCATGGTCAAGGCATTAGGTACAATTTCCAGAACAGAAGAGAGGAAGAGAAAAAAAAATTAAAATCACATTAGATTGGAGATTGTTTCTTACACCATTACATAACTTCTTTTAAAGGTTGTTGCTAGGTTAGTTATGCAGCTATCATTTTCTGAATTATCTTTTATGAATAAGGCTATGTGTAAATTAACCTAAAAGCAATTTTCTTAAACTACATGTTTCTAGAAAAATCTAAAAGCAAACTTAGATTGCTTTATACAACTTAAAACAATCATAGTATAGTTATGGCTGGAGTGTTTTGTTTATTGGCCAAAGAAATGATGAATTTCTTATCCACATTATCTGTTAAAGCAAAAAGGAAACTGGTTATTCTATCACCTTTCTTTTTCTCGAGAACATTTACTTTCAAATCATCAGAGTTCAACTTATCAGTCTATAACCAATAAAAAGAAATGGAGATTGATGAGATTAAAACACAAAGGACAATAGGGAAAATAAAAGGGGAAAAGCCACAGAAATACGGAAGTTGAATTCAAAGAAATTTTTAATTGAGCACTTACTATAAACCTGAAAAATGGCTGACAATACCACTAAATGTTCTAATTTCAAGTGCTGGAAAGTCAAAATACATTATCAGCATTTAATATTTACTTCTAAAACATTATTCTGAATGACTTATTCAAATAAAGTTTTGTTTGCCACGAACAGCCTCACATTAGGTATCCCCTATCTTATCAGGCACTGCAGATAACAGATGAACAAAGAGGACGGCTTCAAAGGACCTTTTATCATGTGTTCCTATGCTGAAAAGACCTTTCCTTCTCTGCAGAGGGAACATGTAACTTAGTAAGTACAGGGATGCTGGCTAAGTTAGTGGCCCAGGTTCAAATTCCAGGTCTAATATAGTTTGTGTGATTTTAGGAAAAATACTCAAACCCTCTAAACCTCCGTCTCTTATCAGGAAAATTAGTATTATACTTACCTCAAAGGCTGTGAAGGTGAATTAAAACGATGTATGTCAAGTACTTGAATGTACAGTGCCAAATAAATGGATGCTGGGATTGCTAAGTGAGAGCCCTAGTACAGACGGTCTTGGGTTCCCAAATCTGGGATGTAGCTTCAGATTCTTAACCTAATGCGTTCCTGGAATCCACCCCTCGCTTACAATTTACTGCATCTTAGGTACCAAGGACATAGGAAAAACTACAAGGACACATTCCCCTAAGCTTTTTGGTACTCTAATCCAACAAATTCTTCATGCTGGCATTTTATCTCTGGGAAGCCTCTTTATTTTTTGGTATTGGGGATTGAACCCAGGACCTTGCGCTTTCCAGGCAGGCATGGTGCCACTGAGCTAAATCCCAGGCCCAGAGAATCGTTTCTTACAAAGGAGGAAGAGGTGGTGAGGAAAAGTTAAGGAACTGATCAAAGATTAATGGCAAAAAGAAAGTTGTAAATTTTAATTCATGATAAACCCAGTTAAAATGAGATATACAGGGTATTTCTTTATTCTCAACTACAGGTACACATATACACTCAGGGTTTTTTGTTTTCTTTTGGTATTGATTTAGGTTTTTTTTTTTTAACAATGACAAGTTTTATACTTAATTTAAATATTACAACTGTTACATTGGTTCTTTAGTTTCCAGAGATCTATTAAATATGTAAGTTTCTTAAGTGATAGAATATTGTTTAACCACAAAGTTGCCAACCACCACCAGCCTCTCTTCCCACTTTTTAGAATATAAAAGTGATTAAGTATTTAGGCATGCTGGGGATTTAGATCAGAGGTTCTGCCCCCTTGCCTCTTGGGAATGATATTAAATAATTTAGATTGAGGATCTACACATTAATAAAAATAATAAAGCCGGGTGTGGTAGTGCACGCCTGTAATCCCAGCACTTGGGAGGCTGAGGCAGGAGGATCGCTGTGAGTTCAAGACCAGCCTGGGCTACATAGTGAGTTCCAGGTCAGTCTCAACTACATAGTGAGACCCTGTCTCAAAAAACTTTTAAAGATTTTTTAAAAAGTACTTTATTTTCATTCAGTTTTTATACTTTGTTCATATTTTTGCTTTTAACTACAGTAAAATAGCTTAAAGCCTGTAATTTTTCCTTTTAATTAGTATTCTTCTAACTGCCCTAGTAAACTGTCCGTATTGTTTTAGTTTTATAAATAATTCCTCTGAGGGCTGGGGATTTAGCTCAGTGGTTCTGCCACCTGCCTTGCAAGCACAAGGACCTGAGTTCGATCCCCCGTACCAAAATAATTATAATAATTCCTCTGGAGTCCTTTCTTTTTTGTCCATACTCAAACTGTTAGTTTTTATTTTTTGGTACCGGGGATTGAACTCGGGTCCTTGTGCTTGCAAGGCAGGTGACAGCACCACTGAGCTAAATTCCCAGCCCTCAAACTGTTAATTTTTAGTAATTAAAGATTTGCCTCATACTATTTTACTCACATGGGTCATTTGAGTGTTTTAACTTTAAAACTATGAAAAATTACGACAAATTTCTGAGCCCTAATATACTCTTCATTGTGCTTTATAAATCTCTACAATTCTTTTTATTCCTATTTACTAAAAATTATAGACCATCCAAGTTGCACTGTAATTGGCAGCAAAATTGTTAGGCGCCGACTCTGTTCCACCAGGACTTCTTGCTATTTAGAAAAGGGAAGGCTGGGGATGTGGCTCAGTGGTAGAGCACTTGCCTACCATGTCAAAGCACTGCGTTTGCTTCCTTCCCAGTATTGTAAAAAAGGGACAGCAGACAACTTCCAGTCCTTATTCATTCTCTTCAGTCTAGAGGCCACAAAGCAATAGCAAAGGTTAGAGCTCAGCCACTCAACCCCAGGAGAGGAAGGTGAGACAAACTGAGCTCGAGAGGGATATTTTTCACTCACTCCCACCCTGCCAATTTTAGAAGCCAAGTAGCCTTTAAATGAATTTTGCCTTGATAAAGAAAACTGTCTATTCCATTTGAAGAAGTCTATGCTGCCCGGTATCTAATTCCAAAGCAAAAAAGGTGTGTCCCGTGTGATATGAAACAAGGGAGAAAACTCATGAAGTGTGGCTTTGTAAAACATAAACCTCTCAGTCATGTGCAATTACAAATTGTTTATTTCCTTGCTAATTGTTGGTTGTTATTACATGTCCAAACACTAAATTAAACCCACCTTCCTAATACAATAGATAATCCTTTCTTCGAAGAGCGACAGTATTTAGAAAAAGCCCTTTTCTTTAATGGTAGGAAAGCCATTGCAACAGAAACTTTGATGAGGGTAGAAAAAAGTGATCCCAAAATTATGCCAAGATGCTGTATAGTCTGGAAATTTTATTTATCTCTTTATGCTACTTTATACTGGTCTCTGGGTTTGTTAGATAAACTGTTTAACAGGTTTCAGGAAGTACTATACATACATATTATATTTCATTTTAAATTGCATTTCAGATTTAGTACTTGATATACTGTATCCAAGTCTCAGATGAATCACTTTTCCCTTTCTTCTGCTGTTACGTGGCTTTAAAAATTCCTGATTTTTAATTTACCTTTTTATGCCACTCTGCTTCCCATTACTTGAATTCTTCACCTGCTCCTTTGCTATTCCTATCCTTCCTTAACATTTAAGTGTATCTCTACAAATCTCTGTGCTCACACTGTGCTCTGATGCTTTCAACTAAATTAGTACTAGCCAATATGTCTCTCAATTCCCTTGGTAACTTGTTCTTTTATGCAAATTATATACAAATATATGATTTGCATATCTTAAAATCTATGAACAAAAAGAGCGATGCTATTACTGTTTGTAATCACAAAACTGTATTTTTAAATATAGGTTAGTTAAAATCCTTTTCATTATGAGAACGGTGTTACATTACAAGTAATTCACATTAAAAGGCATTCTATTCAGTATATTTATTTATTGATGGGTCAGTTTTGCCAGTGTTTTAATTCACAGGTAATTGATGTAGACCCTATGTCAATAACGACTAACAATACTACTTTAACTGAAAAATGATAAACTGTTTCCATTTGTTACTAGATAATCCTCAAATTTCGTATCCTTTACAGAAATAAAGCATGATAAATTGCAATTTGCCACAACACACTTTCTCCAAATCTTAGTATAAGACACAACACATTTTTGTGCACTCTACTTTTATAGAACCAGATTTATAATTGATTAGATTTATCAATATACATGGCAGCTTTCTCAAATCTCGAAGTACCAAAAGTATGTAATTTTAATGGTGAAAATCACTTTCCTTTAGATATTCCTAGAGAGCTATTAAAATCTATTTATAAACAAAATAATTGATAAACACTTTAGAAATCAGACTATTTTAAATTAAAATATTTTTAATGAATGTCTTTTATTAACTATCATAGTTAAATTTAATATCACAGAACAAAATGGCTTATCCCCACCAACTTCACAAGTGAGGGAAAGTCATTGGGATTTACACTTAATATAAGTTTTAAATGTGATTATTAAATGATAATATTTTATCAATTGTGGGAAATGTTCATTTATAGGAATTTCCTCAGGTCCATCAATCGTTTTAGGCCAAGTTTGAGTCCATGTCAACCTTATAGGTTACATTCAGTGAAACTAACTTGCCTATAAGTTTGTCAATTTAAGAATGAGTTAAGAATATGAGGGAAAATAAGCAGTAGCTAATCCACTGTTCAACTAACTGAAAAAAGACAAAAAAAAAATAAAAAAGCTAAACCTGAACAGGATAATTTCAAATAATAATTTAAAAACAAAAAGGTCAAACTTTAAACAGGAATAGCCAATGCTGCTGACTTATGATTTCACAGGATAACCTTAAGAAAAAAACCAAAAAACAAACAAAAAACCACATAGAAATAGTGAAGTCATCACCTTATTGATAAAAAACTAAAGTTTAATAGTCATTGAAGGGGTAACAGCAACTTATTGTCTACATTTAAAATTAATTTTAAAGAAAACTAGAAACAAAGAATGCTATTAAGAAACAACAAAAATGATAAACATTTAACACCTAAAGTGTACTTAAGTCCTAAATAAAAATATTAAAGATAAAAGGGCTTTGAAATTTTTTCCAACAATTCATCTTATAAAATTGATTTCTAAATAGCTCATATCCTTTTTGCTTTGGTGTTTTGTTCACTATCAACTAGACATTAATACAGTAGAAAATCTCTTAGGTTCTTTTCAAATGCTTGGCATTATAATGTGATCTCATATCTTTCCTCAAATTAAATTTTGCTCCACATATCCCACACGTATACAGATGAACATCCATGTGCTGCTCCAACTGTTCATTATTTGGGAATATCTGAAAGCAGACCTGGCATATAGTCTCACCGGCAGATAAATGAGAAATCATATGCCGTACATGGTCATGTTTTCTGAAGTTTCCTTGATCACAAATGGAACAGACATACCTGGCCATGCCTTTGTGCATATCATTGTGCAGACGCAACTGACGTTCTCTTAAAAACTGCTTCCCACATGTCTGACAAACAAACTGTTTTTCCTTAGTATGAACAGTATAGTGTTCTCTTAAATGACACCGCTGATAAAATCCTTTCCCACACAGATTACAGAAATGCTTTCGCCTGTGATCTCTTTCGTTTTCTTCCATCATGGCACTCTTAAACATATCTTGATCTAGGCAGCTAGACATATGTTCAACCACTAAATTTTCAGTTTCAAAACGCTGGCCACAATTAGGACATCGAAAAGGACAGGCAGAATGTTTAAATAACTGCTTTTTTTGGATACTGTTTATTTGGTAATGACTGTCCCTAAAATCATCCAGCATTTCAACAAACATATCTCTTATTTCAGACTGTTCATCAGGGTTTTCTTCCATGTCCATCTTCTCCTCGGTATTTCCCAGCCCATTCATTGTCAGATCTTGGGGCTCTCCACACCTCTGTGCGTGTTCCTGAAGCTGTCGACCCTTGACAAGGATCTGTCCACATTTACCGCATGCACAGATGTTCTCGATGTGTTTGGCTAGGTAATGAGAAGACAGGTCCTCCTCTGTTATTGTGAGTCCACACAGCTCACAAGAGGCATTTTCACTATCCTCCTGTACCGGACTGCTGTTGTTAGGGGGCCTCAGATTTTCTAAAGTACCTCTTTCATCAGAATTTATTGACATCCGAGGTTTTAGAGTTTTCCTACCACTTTTTTTAATGCCAACATCTTCTTCAACATAGTATCTGTAAAATGGCTCTTCGGGTTCATCTTCTAATTCATCGTTATCAGTGGATTCGTTGCAGTCTTTGTCAGTAACTTTAATAATATTAAAATCTTTAAGCTCATCTGTAGGAATATCTTCAGGCTCCATCTTAATGATGATTCTCTTCCTCTCTGCAGCCCTGCTTTTTTCTTCACCAGCTAGTTCAGACTCCACTGTGCTTTTTCTGCTTCCAGTGGTTGAAGCAGAATCATCAGGAGCCTGGCTTGTGTCTCCTCTGTATTTGTCTGCCTGTGCAGAAAATGTTTTAGATGAATCCTTTTCACCAAATTCAGCTTTGATGTTACTGTCTTTTGCATCTCGAATATCTACTATTCGGTGGTAAGATCTTGTGTTTTGGTATGAATGTCTATTAGTACAGGTCAGTACATGTTCATCTAATAATTTTTCACAGCTAAAGCCAAATCCACAGCTGTCACAAGTAAAACTCCGTCCAAAGCGTCGTGACACCCTTTCTTTTGGAGCAGATAATTTGGACACAGAACTTTTTTTGCATACATCAAATAGTGGTTCAGGAAAATTACTTAATTGTAAAGATTCTTCATCTGGCTCTCTATTATGAGGTGTGTTTACTGTTGAACTTGGCTCTGCACACCACCTGTTGGCTTCACTGCCATTTCTAGCCACGGTGTCTTCATACATTCTTACTCCAAATATCATTTTGGTATTCTGTTTGCTAGAAGCAGAAGAGGAACATTTTGAACTAGAACAGTCTGCATCTTGTATGTCTTCTAAGCAGTCAGGAACATTGTACAGCTGTAGGTAGTTCATTGCCACTTTAAACTGCTCAAAACTGGAGGGAGCTGTCATGATTTTTCCTAAATACATAAACTGCAGAATGAGATCAAAACACTCAGCACTGATTTTCATGTTGCTGAGATTCAGTTGTGCAGTACTATGCTGATGGTTCATGAAAAACATTCTAAAATAAGAGCTGCAGGCAGCTAGAACAGCTTTGTGTGCTTGGAAGTAAATGTCATCAATTGCAATGCAACAGTCACAGAGGAAACCCCATTCTCTTTGGTTGTTTAGCTGCTGCAGGACATAGCTGCTATGGCTGGGCTTTGCCATCTTCTAGTAGAGACCTATGGAAAACAAATATTCAAGTCAGAGAAGATTAAAAAAGCACTAGAAAAACACTAATTTTTATCATGACTTTTGACTTGTGTTAACTTTGCAATCAAGATTATCAACAGCTTTCCACTGTTAATATAGTAAAGCTCAGTAATATATACCTGATTCGTTTATTAAAACTTAAAAGATGGAGTTGGGGATGTAGCTCAGCAGTACTGTGCCTGCCGGGCAAACACAAGATCCTGAGTTCAATTCCTATACTCACCCCCCCAAACAGAAGATACTCATTTATCCAGGTTTCTCATATTAAATAAAGGCACCCCAAGCAACAACTTTAACTGTGGTTTTATTATGACTCTAAGGGGGAAAATGATATTAATTAAAAATATTTAAAGGATATGTATATATATGTGTGTATATATATGTATATATATATGTGTGTGTGTGCATATATATATATATATATATATATATATTGTTTTTGTAATGGGGATCAAACCTCAAGTCCTTGCACTTGCAAGGCAGGTGTTAGAACCACTGAGCAAAATCCCTGGGCCCAGCAATGAAATAAAATAGCAACCTAAAGTTAATAACTAGATTGTAGAGAACATTAAGGAACTATTGCTCATTTCTAAAGTGTGACTTGATTATGAAAAGTCTTCATATGCTTACGGAAATATTTATAGATAAAATTATATATTTGAGATATTCTTCAAAATAAGAGGTGGATATGGGTGCTATAGATGATATAAGATTGACTGTTTATAACTACTGAAGATAAGCAGAATTGTTTTTATGTATGTTTGAAATTTTCCATAGAAAAAGTTTTATTTTAAAAAAACCCCTTACTAAATCATGTGGACATTACATCAAACAGGTATGGTGAATGTTTTCTCCTTTTCTTAAATTAATTCTGTAGAGTCAGAATAACCTCGTCATTGCTCAATATGCATTTTATGGTATAAAGAAGCAATAAATTTACTCGGGAATGAGGTGCCTATACTTAGATTGTAAATTTTTCTTTTCTTTTAAAAAAGTATGCAAAAGTAACACATACTTATTGCAAAAACACAAGTAGTACACAGACTAAAAACATCTCAGGTTACATACCTCTTCCCAGAAGAAATCCCTCCAAATATTCTGGATTATATACCTTCACATCTGTTTACTTGCATACATAGACAGCATACTGAGTACTTAGTATATGCCAGGAACATAGTTGTGCTTTTAAATCTGAAGAGTATACTACACATGCCATTCTGCAACTAGTTTTCTAAATTTAACATGGGTAGACATTGTATTTTTAGTGTAGGGAGTCAACGTTAGATAAAGAGAGGGAAATATTAAAATCGCCAGAAGTTTGCAGCAGCACATGCCAGTAGGCCAGTATTTTGGTTGGCGGCTGAGGGAAGATCACAAATTTAAGCCCAGACAGGGTAATTCAACAACTTAACAAGAAACTGTCTCAAAAAAAAAGAGCTGGGAGAGCTCAGTGCAAAGGCCCAAGGTTCAATCACCAAAACTGCAAAAATAATTAAGAAATACACTAGAAATCTTATCACAAAGCCAAAATAAGATTCAATTTTAGCCTCAAATTGTAATCTGTATATATAAAGCTTTAGAATCTATCTTCTACTGAAAAGTCAGTTCCTCTCTATACAATTTTACTGAACTTAATTATATCTGCTACCTTCTTAAAATAGCAACAACTGTGCCTTCTGGAAGCCAAATCAAATGTTTCAAGTAGGTAAAATATTTCCAACATTTGTAAATTGCTTTACCCGAACTACGAGGAATCAGTTTTACCATGTGCCAAAATACAAAAGCAGTAGAACACTGATGTGTTACTTATAATTTTAGTGCCTGGCAATAAGGGAATTTTATAGTAAACTAGGGTAAACCTACTCTCTAGAATTCACTCTTTCAAAATTCACCGACTTTTAAAAATTGTATTTATGAGTGAAAACAACAGAACAAAGTGGGAAATAGTTTCAGGATGTAGAATCAAAAGGAGATAGAAAATTGTATTACAATTAGAATTATGCAAAACAAAATCAAACAATAATACTACCTTATTCAGAAGCTAAAATATTACACAAAAAGGTAGACCCAAGCTAATTTTTAGTAGGGTGGGTTTTCTAGGCCTGTAATAATTTTCTTGGGGTACGGTACCAGGGATCAAACTCAGGACCTTGCACTTGTGAGGCAGGCACAGTGCCACTGAGCTAAATCCCCAGCCCCTGTAATAATTTTTGAAGGATTCAGAAACCTTGAATAAAAAATAAAGTGGTAGAATAATAAGCACCCCCCCAAAAAAAGCTTCTAATAATGAATTGTTCAAAGCAAATGTCTGGAGGATAAGGTTGCATATGAAAGCAGGGATAGAATGTTGTTGAGGACAGTTCAGAACAGTAAGAGCACAGGCCTTGGGTCAGACAGACCTGGACTCCAATCTGGCTTTGCCACTTCTGCAACTTGCTTTTTTCCTTGTTGACCCTGACTGTCAAGGTGGGGGTAATAATAACACATCAAACATGAGAACTCACAGAGACAATGTGTAAAATGTTTAGTGCTTGGCTTGTAATAATTTATGGTCACAATTACTGCAACAGTAATGCTTATTTAAGCACCAGGAAGTAAATATAAGTTTATGTAAGAGTCCATTAGAAAGCCAGTAATCTGTGTAACTTTCAGGTATTAAATAGTCCATGCTTGAAATAATGACATAAAGAGATTAAAGGTTCCAAGAACCCTTATCTAAATAGACGTAGTTTTATGGCCATTAACCCAATTTAATACAACTACCTAGAAGACCAATTATACTGACACATCTGAAGCTATACTCACTAATCCATTAAATTACATTCATTTATTCAATGACTATTTATTGAGTACGTTTGGAATACTAGGCACCAAGTAAGTACTAAGCACTGTCAATAGCACAAGTATCCCATCACTTCAAGGATACATCATTGAGAATTTAGTTTTTCTTGATTAGAGATTTCATTCAGCATGTACTCAGTCAACTGGTCACTCTGTTGAAGACCTCACACTGTAAAGGAGAGGCGGGCTCCAGGTGCCCCTGGGTGTGGCTCCTACCACTTCCACAAGCTATCTGCTTTGCTACGTGGATGCTCTTCAGAGCTGGGTGTTGAACAAGGGCCATGTAACAGTCAATGCTAACCATATGCAGTAGCTTCCAGATCAGTGATGATGAACCTTTTAGAGCTTTCAATGATACAAACAGCCTACTGCAGCCCATGAGCTATAGGTTCACCACCACTGTCTAGGTTGACCTACCTTTACAGTTAAAGTAACATTACTATGCACCTGTCCAAATTCTGGGTGAAACTGATTTTAGCTAGAGCAACTTTTAGCAGCAATAACTCACTAAGTGCAGCCAGGTGTAATGTTGTACACCTATAATCCCAGCACTCAGGAGGCTGGGGCAGGAGGATCCCTGAGAGTTTGAGATCAGCCTGACCTACAAAGCAAGACCCTGTTTTAAAACAAAACAAAAACACAGGGCTGGGGATTTAGCTCAGTGGTGCCACCATCTACCTCACAAGCACAAGGTCCTGAGCTCAATCCCCCAGTAACAACAACAACAAAAGAAACAAAACAAAAAACAAAAGCTTTTAAGACTTAATATGCCTGAGGCAGGCATGGTGACCCATGCCAGAAATCCCAGCACTCAGGAGGCTGAGACAGGAGGATCATCATGAGTTCAGGCTAGCCTCGGCTACTTAGTGAGTTGAAGGCCAGCCTGGACTACACAGTGAGATCTTTTCTCAAAAACAAAACAAAACAAAAACAAAAAGGTGGGAGTAGTAGAAGGGAAAAGAGACCTAAATGCCCGTGTGACTTCTTTTAGCTTATCTCTTGAAGATAATTTTTGCACTGAAATTTATAATTCATTCATTTGGGGCAGGGGTGCTGAGGACTGAAAGCGCCTCACACATGCTAGACACTCTACCACCGAGGTACATATCCAGCACTGCACTCATTTTCTACTAAACAATAATTTCACCCAAATTCCAGTTTGCTTTTCTTCATTTTTTTTGGCATCCTTAGTAATGCTCAAAAAAGAGTGAATTTTATGTTACCATAAAGCAATTTCACAATGAATTATGTTTCTTTTCATTTTTTGGTACCGGGGATCGAACTCTGGCTCTTGTGCTTGTGAGGCAGGCAGCAGAACCACTGAGCCAAATCCTTGGCCCTATATGTTACAGTAAAGAAATTTTCACAATAAAAGTCTGCTTGTATTTGGGATGCTCATTTTTGTGACTGAAATCTGGGATTGCTTCTGTCTGTGTTGCTGGCTTCATCATAGAAGAACATGTTTATTACAGCTGGAAGTCAAGGGATGGGGCAAAGGGCAGAGCCTTCAAGTGTGACTCAAAGACAATACCCTTTACATGGAGACCGTTTCTCTAAGGCACAGGACCAAATAAACAAACAAAAAAACAAATGAGTTAGATGAGCCAAAAGTTTTACACTGAATTTTGAATGTTTTACTTTGAAAAAGCTTATTAGCTCACCTCAAGTTCAAAACCAGCTGCCACACACATTAAGCATATTAATTTAGGCAGTCAGATTTGTAATGGTTAGAGGAGTATTTCCTAGAAGAAAGCAACCACTAGGGCCCTGAGCAATGTATCAGAATATAGCTAACTGTGTTAAAGTAGGTTCTGGGACTGACTACAGAGCAAGGCCTCCTATCTACCTAGACAGCACTAACCACTTCCTTGGTGCTGTGCAGTGTGGCCTTCTGCAGAGAACACTCACCAGGACTGCACATGGGTCTTTAATAAGAGGTTTATAGGGACAGAGTGCTGCTGCTTAAGTGATTGCTCCTATCTGAATAATAGGTATAATGTGGTTTTATCTCCACGTCCATGTAGTCATACTTACCAGATGTGTTCCCTAAGTTATTCTGTATAAACCGTTTCAGCACATTTCTCAGACATGGCAAGATTTCACACAATTTCCCCCATGGCATCTCTCTTAAATTGGAAAAAGTGTTGCTGGAAGTTTCTTTTGCTCCAGCCTTAGTCAAATGCCAAGTTAAGGGGCCATATTACCTCTGAGTCTCAAAGAGGATTCAAGGACAGGCTGAGCATCTCTAATCTGAAAATCAAAATCCTACTTTCTGAATGCCAACATACAACAAAAACGATAAAAAAATTCCAAAATCCAGGAAAACTGTTAGAAATCTGAAACACGTCTGGTCCAGAGCAGTTTAGATAAAGGATACTGAACTTATAAATACATTCATTCCCTTTGTCTTATGTGACTGAGTGCGTGGATTTAACTGGAGGACTATAGATTATCTTTTTTTTGTTTTGTTTTGTATTTTTGGTACCGGGGATTGAACTTGGGTCCTTGCG